AACATAGTCATTTGCCCACAGACAAAAACATTTTCAATAATCTGAGTAACAAGTTGAAAGCAAGGTTAAAGGAACTCAACCAAGAGAGATTTAATAACTATGTATCCAGTTTGAATCGTTTTGACAATTCTATCTGGAAACCCGTCAAAAATAAACTTAAACCTAACTTTCAAAATCCTCCAGTTTCTCCAGACGAAAAACTCACCTGGTAAAGCAAATGAAAACGCGAGTTAAAGAACTCGGCTGGCTCTTTGGACATACATCTAAATTATCTCTAGAAAACAAGGTCCTTATCTATAATAAGATAATTAAACCGTTGTGGACTTATGGTCTTTAGATTTGGGGCTGCTCAAGTAAATCAAATATTGCTCTTATACAACGGATGAAATCAAAAATTACTCGTATGATCACAGGAGCCCCCTGGTACATAACTAATCAGATGATCCATAATGATCTAAAGCATTTATTTAGTTACAGTTTAGTGTAGTGTTTGATCCAGTAAGTGACTTTACTTGTGAATTCAGTGCTTTTTAATTAAATATAGTGCTCCCGTCAGGGAGTACTATAAATTATCACTCCACAATACCTATTGTGGAAACATTTAACATCATTCACGAAGATCAAAATAATTTTACTCAACTAGTTCTTAACCAGATGACTTCAAAAAGAAATAATGATGATGCAGTAAACAGATCAACATCGTCGGATCCAACTCCTATTCCATCAAAAAGTAATATGTCTTCAACAGCAACAATGGATTTAGCGTCCACTGCACGCGATGTGATCGATTACACGAATAAAAACCCATGGCAAGAGGTAACTTCCGCTAGAAGACGTCGCTCGAACAACGCAGTAAGTAATGTAAGCGTTCCCATAAAATTAGCCAACAATTTTGGCGTTCTAGAAAACAATGTTTCTATACCATCAGAAGAGACATCAGATAATAAAAGATCTACTCCTCCGCCCTTATTTGTCTACGGACTTCGTGATTACAATCCTATGTTAGCGGATATTAATTCAATTATTAATAAAGATAAATACATCACTAAATACCTACCTAATAAAACTATTAAATTCAACATTTTTGAAATAGAAGACTACCGCAATTTTGTTAAATTTTGAAAGAGATGTCTTTCAATTTCGTGAAAGAGATGTCGTTTTTCATACCTACCAGATAAAAGCGGAACGCTCATACAGGGTTGTACTCAAATATCTGCACTACGCTACAAATAAAAATGATATCAAAGCCGCAATTGAAAAAGAAGGTCATCCTGTCAGAAATATTACTAATATTATACATCCGAAATCAAAACAACTGCTGAACATGTTTTACATAGACTTAGAACCCAAAGAAAATAATTCGTCAATTTTTAAAATGAATAAAATGTTAAACCAAATAATTCATTTTGAGCCCCCAATAAAATCATCAAATATTCCCTAGTGTGTAAGGTGCCAAATGTACGGCCATACCCAGCGTTATTGCAACCGTAGATTTATATGTGTCAAATGCGGCTCTGATCATGAGTCTAAAAAGTGTACAAAAGCAGCTGAAGCCCCGCCTCTTTGTTATCATTGCGGCGATAATCATACCGCAAACTACAAAGGGTGTTCTTACTACCTTCACCTTGTCGGTGCAGATAACGATCAAGCAACAATAGGCAGAAGTAAAGGGACTTATTTACACACAAATGCAAACCGGTACAAATCCAACTTACACAACAATAAAATTTCACAGTACGCAAACCCTCAGCATATGTCTTATGCTCAGGTAATAAAATCGCAATCAAACCTATTTAACAACAATCAAAATCACATTAACAACAGTAATTCTCCATCGATGTCTGATTTCCTGACCGAATTTAGAAATATGTTTAGCCAGTTAATGGAACAAAACACCATGATTGTCAAAATGTTATCAACATTAATCAACATTAATGAAGTTAAATAATGGCTAATATTTTAAATTTAGGATTATGGAATGCTAACGGCTTGTATCAACACAAAGCCGAAGTAGAATTATTTTTGAGACACAACAATATCGACATCTTTTTAATTAGTGAAACACACTTCACCAAGTATTCAAACTTTTATATACCAAATTACAAGACATACTTCACTAACCATCCCGATGGCACCGCACATGGTGGGACTGCCATTATTGTAAAATCTAATCTTCTTCATTATGAGCTGGATAAATACGAATCTGAAATTTTGGAAGCCACATCAATTTTAATAATTAATTCATAAAAATGAATTCATTCAACTTATGTGTTTCTGCAGTTTACTGTCCGCCGAGGCACAATATAACCAGATTACAATTTCAAGATTATTTCTCTACACTAGGTAGTCATTTCATCGCCGGCGGAGACTACAATAGCAAACATGTCAATTGGGGCTCAAGATTAAATAATCCTAAGGGAAAACATCTATATGATACAATATATAAACATAATTATAGTGTTCTTTCTTCAGGTTCTTCCACCTACTGGCCGAGCGATCCTGCCAAAAAACCAGATCTATTGGACTTTTTTGTATCATCGGGTATAAGCTCAATTCACAAGGAAGTATGTACGAGCAAGCTATGACTTATCATCTGACCATAGTCCAGTAATAGCCAGCATAAGCACATCGGCAAGTATTTCTAAACCCTCCTCTAGGATCTGCAACCATAAAACAAACTGGGACATCTACCGGAAGTTCGTAGAAGACAAAGTTGACCTCAAAGTTAAACTTAAAAATTTCGCTGATATCGAAAACACCATCGATTCCTTTGATACCCTCCTACATGATGCTGCAAAGTTTGCTACTCCTACTCCTGTTACGACAAAAAACTCCTGTCAGACGACAACATATGAAATAAAAAGGATCATAGCAGAAAAAAGAAATGCTAGGCGTAGGTGGCAACATAGTCATTTGCCCACAGACAAAAACATTTTCAATAATCTGAGTAACAAGTTGAAAGCAAGGTTAAAGGAACTCAACCAAGAGAGATTTAATAACTATGTATCCAGTTTGAATCGTTTTGACAATTCTATCTGGAAACCCGTCAAAAATAAACATAAACCTAACTTTCAAAATCCTCCAGTTCGTTTGGGGGTAACTTGAAACGGGCAGGTGGCAAAAAGGTTTAAAGCCTTATTATAATTTTAAAGGTATTTTACAAAATAATTACATTTTTAACTAATGCTAAAAAACTACCAATGGAAAAAAATACTTTTATTATAGATTTTCTAAGATTACCGTTTATCTCCCTCATTTCAAAGATTACCGTTTTGAAATCAAGGTTATAGCTGGTTATACATCTTTTTTTCTCAACTTTCAAATATTGCTGTTAAACAATGCTTAACTTTACTGATTTCTCACACATAGGTGGTGGCCCTTTTTAATCCCGGTCCTTCATATATTACTATTTATTCTTCGATAAATTTTGGGAAATTATTACTGGGAAAATAGTATTCGACGAAATATCCATTTTATCGATACCATATTCAGGTTCTGAATTTAAATAACTCAAACCTAGAAAATGTTTTATAAATACCAATGAGTATATAATTATACAAATGAGATCTTTCAGAGCACCGTGTTTGAGAAAAATATGCCAAAAAGTGCATTTTCTTTTTTTTAAAAATAAATATTTTGGCCTCGCTTACTCTGAGCATTTAGCCATCTACAACATTTTTATTTAGTTACATTCTAATTTTTATATCATTTTCAATCTATTTATGTATCCTATTCTATATTCTTCTTAATCTTCTTTTTATTTTCTTCAATTCTTCCTCTCTTTTTCAAATTTTTAATTCTATTTAACTTTCAGCTTCATTCAATTATTTTTTTCTTCGTTTTTCTTTCAAGTTCCAATATTCCACTTCTTACTCCTAATTCAATTCAACTGTACGAATTTTGTTATTCCTATTTTACTTAATTTTTATTCAAATTCTATTTAACAAATACAATTTTTATTTGATTTTAAATTAACTACACATATTATTTTTAACAAATTCTATGTCTATGACATTGAATTTTGCTTTTAACCTAAAAATACAACACCCTATCTCCCCTAAGATGCACTGTCTTCCAAAAATACACAAACCTGAATGCTCTTTCAGACCGATTGTCTCCTATATTGGCTCCCCTTTTTACAACATTTTGAAACTCATTTCTGATGTCCGGTGCATGTCAGATTGAATTTTACGGTTTATTATAATTGCATGAAAAGCTTACAAAAGTGTACAGAAAATTAAATAATTGCTTATTTAAACCATTCATAATCGAGACTCTAATGTGCGTTCCCAGTAAACCACAGAAGTTACCACCACGTAACTCATTTTGTAACTTTCGTTTCGAAACTGATGTTAAGTAAAAAAACCGATGCTGTTACGTATAGTTGCGACCTTTAACCACCGTCGACGCGTTTCTGTCGGTACGTGGCGTGGTACGTTGCATTGTCACATAGATTAGCCTTTGAAAATAGCCGTGAAGTGTTTTATGATCGAAATGTCAAATTAAATATAGGTTAACTCGGTTAGTGCATCGTGGACGCATAATTGAGTATTTTATCGTGTATGTTTGAAATGCAAGATATTTCCTTTATTGAAGCGTTATTTATTAATTGCTTTTATATTTAGTGCGAAATCAGTTGTAGAAATTAGTTAAACAGTCAGCTGCAAAAGTATTTAATATGAAACCGGCAAATAAGGCGAGTCTAATTGTACTGAAACATATTTTAATTTATAAATTATTATAATAATGTTTAGTCATTTGCAGTATATAGGCCGCCTGCAATGCAAAGTCTGTTCTTGTATTGTGATAATTGATTTGTCATGTAATAATTGAAATTTCTAACACACCAGTCAGAAACATAACCTCAATTCAGTGATATATGAATAAAGAGATGTAAGTTATATGGTTTTATACATATTCATTTTTTATAGTTTTATTAGTATCAGAACTATTTAGCTAAGCACAAACTGATATAAGTTGGTTTTCAATTGTAGAGAAAATTACAGTGCTGATAACCCCTACGAAAATGGATTTCAAACTAGGGAAATTTTCTCCAATAGAGAAGATAAATACAAAGTTAGATAATATATTAGAAATTATTAATCCTTTGTCACCAAAAAAAAACAAGCAAGGCTTGAAAACATGCGAGAAGAAAAATAAGAACACATATCGATAAATAAGAACACATATTAAGATTAAGTGTTGAAAAGAAAATGAATTGTGGAGTATTTCTTAAGTGATGATATTGTATTACAGAATAGGTATATTAATGTTTTACACAAAGAGAATTTTAACTAATATGATTTAGTACTAATTTGTAATGTTTTACTTTTAGGAAATTAACATATTTAATACGAAACCAGCAAAGGTGAGTATAATTGCACTGTTTTTTTTTTAATTTACAAATTATTATATTAATGACTAATTAGTTATTTTCAGTATATAGGTCATGTGCAATGCAAATTCTGTTTATGTATTGTGATAATTGATTTATCACATAATTATTGAAATTTCTGACAGACCAGTCAAAAATCACATAACCTCAATTCAGTGATATGATGTGAATATTATAGGTAGATAAGTGTAATATATATGGTATCATACATATTCTTTATAATTTCATTAGTATCAGAACTATTCAGTTAAGCAAAAACTGATATAAATTGCTTTTCAATTGTAGAGAAAGAGTGCTCATAACCCCTATGGGTTATGTCAAAATGGAATTCAAACTAGGGAAATTTGCTCTAATCAAGAAGATAAATTGTCACCAAAGAAACAAGCAAGACTTAAAAACATTCAAGAAGGAAAACAAAGAATGCACCGGATATCACACATTATATGGATTAAGTGTTGAAGAGAACATGAATTGTTGAGTATTTCGAGCCTGATGAACTTGCATTACAGAATTGGTATATTAAGGTTCTACATGAAGAGAATTTTAACTAATATGATTTAGTACTAATTTGTAGTGTTTTACTTTTAGGTAATTCAGATCTTGAAAATTAATAGGATAAAATCAATGCAAGAAAATTGAGTGTGTGTTCATGGAATAATTATCTCTGTCATATGATCGTAGGAACTACATAGTCATTAACTTCAAATAATGAGTATGTTTAGAGGTAATGTTCACAAATGACTAATTTGTTCACAATGTTTTCAATTCAAAATTTGTGTACAATGTTTCTAAGATGTTTGGTTCTATTTTAGATGCATTAACAGATGCAAGTGAGTTGAACATATTTAACGCAAGACTTAACTTTGCCAAGTCTGATTTAACTGAAGTTGCCAAGAGAGTTAAACATAATACATATTATGAATAAATAATTATTTTTATAGGCTAACATTTTATGGACTATCAAATTTTAGTTTTCTAATGTTAACTATGTAATATGTAAATTATGTATATTGTAAATGATAATATTTAATAAAATTACTAAATATCCGAAATTATTATTAATATTCTATATTTGCAGGAAATTTAATTAAATAAGTATGTAACATAAAAGACACCTACACGCTTTTTTATTCAATTTAGATACGTAGCAAAAATGTAACCGCGGTGTATTAGTGTGTAACGAAACAGCCGTTACGTTCTTGCCCGCGAAATAGATGCTTCTGTGTGCCTCCCAGGTTACGTACCTGATTCGTGCGGACGTGCCAGCGTTACGTAACGTTCATGGCTTTGTTACGTTTTGTGGTTTACTGGGTTGGAATCAAAAAAATGTCTTACATTTTAATCAAGATTTAGAAGCAAAAATGGAATCGGACTGTAAACCAACAGAAATCCCAAAACTACGAAGGACCGTAATTGGATCGAGCAAATTTAGCAAGATTCCTCGCGAAGAAGGTCGGACCAATATGTTTACATCGGAAAAGATCTCGCTGCGTTCAACTTCATCAGTTTCTGACTCAATGCAGGAAGTATTATCATCTAGTAATAATGCATCTACAAGTCTCTCTCATCCACAATCTGATGTCAAGAAACCTCCTAATTCATGGCAAGTAGTCAATTTCAAAAAAAGAAAAACATCATTTGAACCATTAGGAATAGATGTCAAAATTCAAAACAGATTTTCGGCCCTTTCAACAATAGACACAGCTAACGATGACAACTCAGTTAAACCGGCTCCAGTCAGTAAGCCGCCTCCAATATTTATTTACGGAGTTGACAATATTAATGATATGTCAAATCAATTAAATGAAATAATTCCGCACGATCAATATTTCCTGAGAAGTTTAGCTAACAATACATTTAAAATCCTATGTAATTCTGTAGACCATTTTCGAACTTTATCCAGACATCTAAAAGAAACTAATGCTGTATATCATATATATCAATTGAAAGAAGAGAAGGCTTATAGGGTTGTTCTTAGAAATGTACGGTAATGTATTGTAATTTCAACAAGCACAGAGTCAATTAAATTAGAACTATTAAAACAGGGTCATGTCGTACGTAATATCCTAAATATTAGACATAGAATAACAAAAGAACCTCTTAATATGTTTTTTGTTGATCTGGAACCAAATAGAAATAACAAAAATATTTATAACATTTACAAATTATTCAACTGCATTATACGCGTCGAACCACCGAGAAAGTCTAATAACATTATACAATGCACTCGCTGTCAACTCTTTAATCACACCAAAAAATATTGCAATAGACCATTTGCTTGTCTAAAATGCGGTGACAATCATAATACAAAAACTTGTACCAAAGATCCGAATGCTCCGGCATGCTGTTATTTTTGCGACGGTGCTCATCCAGCTAATTATCGCGGTTGCTCTTACTTCCAAAAAATCAAAGAACAAAGAAACATAACTCCAGTAAATCAATCAGTCATAAATCCAAATCCAAATAACCAAAATTTTAAAAATACTAATAATCTAAACAACATTTCTCCGGCCTTGAAGCCAACAATTCATGGCTCTTCCTATGCAGACATTGCAAAAAACAATTATTCTGCTTCTAATCATTCACCATCAAATCCCGAATCTGATTCTCTAGCAACATTTATTTTAGAATTTAAAAATGTCTTCAATCAGCTTATACAACAGAACACCGTTATAATAAATATGTTATCCACGTTAGTCAATAACATAAACAATGGCAAAAATAATTAAAATTGCTGAATGGAATGCCAACGGTTTATTACCTCACAAAAATGAAGTAGAATGTTTTTTAAAATTAAACTTAATAGATATGTTATTAGTCTCAGAATCACACTTCACTGAAAACAACTACTTTGCAATTTATAACTACACTACTTATAACTGAAATCACCCAAGTGGCAGGGCTCGCGGCGGTTCGGCTATATTAATCAAAAATAATATAAAGCATTTTGTTCTACCTGTATTTGTGATGATTTTCTACAAGCAACTCAAATTTCTGTTGAAACAAACTTATATAATTTTTGTGTTTCTGCTGTTTATTGTCCACCAAGATTCAAAATTTCTTGTGCTCAGTTTTCTTCATTTTTCTCTCAATTAGGTAATAAATTTATCATTGGTGGTGACTTTAATTGTAAACATATTGCCTGGGGTTCTAGACTGACTACAGCCAAAGGTAAGATACTTTATGCAGCCATCGGGCAAAATAACCTCTCCTTTATTTCAACTTGCAGTCCAACATATTGGTCTTCTGACCCTACTAAAGTTCCAGACCTTTTAGATTTTTTTATTGTAAAAGGTATCGATTATTCAAATCTTAATATTGAATCTAGTTACGATCTCTCTTCAGATCATTCTCCAATACTTGTGACGTTTAGCACATTTCCTACTCCAGCTATCAACAATCATATTCTACACAACAATCTTTCTAACTGGACTGAATTTAAATCCATACTTGATTCAAAATTATTTCCAAAATTTAGGCCTACAAGCGCAATTGATATAGAGAATAAAATAGAATATTTTTCTGAGATTGTACGTGAAACAACCAAGCAGATAACCCCGAATATTATTCCAAGAAATGATAATCTAATAATTCCACAAGAGATTAAGAAGCTAATTGCACAGAAACGAAGAGCAAGACGTACCTGGCAACATTCTCATCTACCTACGGATAAGACATCCCTTAATCATCTCAATAACACGCTGAGGAAAAAAATGAAAGAATGGAAGAATTGTACATTCAGGTCGTATTTATTGCAGCTAAATAGGTACGATAATTCCATATGGAAACCAATCAAGAACAAAAGTAAACCCCTACTACAAAACCCTCCTCTGAAAATAACTAACCAAAACGGTTTCATTTGGGCAAAAAGCAACGAAGAAAAAGCGGAGGCATTTGCTGATCATCTAAGTAGCATTTTTAGCGCTCGAAATATTTCCCAGAATAATTTAATTAACAATTTCGTAAAACAACCCATTCATTCTACACCGTTAGGACATTTTTCACCAAATGATGTCTTATGTGAAATTAAAAGGATGAAAAATAGATCTTCGCCGGGTATGGACAAGATTACTCCAATAATGTTAAAAGAATTGCCTACAAAAGGTATTTTATATATAACGAATATTTTCAACGCCATTCTTCAATATAATTATTGGCCCACAGCGTGGAAGACTGCAGAAATTATTATGATCGCTAAACCAAACAAAAACCACCACACTGCTAGTTCATACCGTCCTTCTCAGGTTTTATCGATATTATCGAAAATTTTAGAGAGACTTTTGTTGCAGAAATTGTCAGAAGATCATCCGAATGATAGTTGGATTCCTCACCACCAGTTTGGCTTCAGAAAAAATCACTCTACAATTCAACAATGCAACAGAACGGTGTCTCGTATTCTTGAAGCTATGAATAGAAAGGAACACAGCGTAGCCGTATTCTTAGATGTCAGCCAGGCTTTCGATAAGGTTTGGCACTCAGGACTTCTATATAAAATCAAAACAACTTTTCTAAACTACTTCAATATCTTAAGCTCATATTTGCCTAATAGAAAATTTAGAATCAAAATTAAAGATGTGACTTCGAGCATCAGAAATATAGAATGCGGGGTACCACAGGGCAGTGTGCTAAGCCCTGTACTTTATCTTCTTTTCACAAACGATATGCCCACAGATGATCTTCTAACCATATGCACTTACGCCGATGACATAGCAATTATTTCATGCAATTCCGATCTTGCGAGCAACTTGTCAGTTACAAAATTATTTATCTAGTCTCGAAAAATGGTTTTTAGATTGGAATATCAAAATCAATATCGAAAAATCTCAGCATATAATTGTTTCTCTAAAACATCACAACAGTCCACCTATCATCATGAACAATTCAATAATTCCACTATGCAATTGTGTTAAATATTTAGGCATGCACATTGATTCGAAATTGACATGGAGAACGCACATTGAACATAAAAAGGAACAAATCCAACTGAAAATAAAAGATTTTTACTGGCTTTTTGAGAGGAAATCTGAAATCTCTCTCGATAACAAGGTACTTTTGTATAAAACAATCATAGTGCCCATTTGGACTTATGGAATCGAACTATGGGGTTGCTCATGCAAATCTAACATAAACATCATTCAAAGGTGCCAGAATAAAATCCTGC